TTATAAACATAGGATCATTTCAGTTTAACTCTGGTTTTAAACCTGTATAACACAGGATTGTCTCAGTTTAACTCTGGGTTTAAACCTGTATAACACAGGATTGTCTCAGTTTAACTCTGGTTTTAAACCTGTATAACACAGGATTGTCACTGTTTAACTCTGAGTATAAACTGTATAACAGGATTGTCTCAGTTAACTCTAGGTTTAACCTCAAGTTTAGAAACAGGTTTTCTGACATTGAACAAAGTAAATGACCTTTTTCCATAAATGATTTTGTTTTTACTAACTCATGAAATAAACCAACAGGAAGTTGTTCATACTCAGAATTATTTTTGATTTCAGGCTGTTTGTTTAGTTTCCTGCAGACATCATACCTCAGCTGGGACCGGATCCTATCACTGCTGAAAGTAGATCCAGCTGATCTGATCCACCTCTCAGGTGTTTCTGCTGAACCTTGGAGACGACAGGTGAGTTTCTGTCTGCAGGTGTGAACTGAAGGTGTTCGGTTGCCTAGAAACAAGAAAGGTGTCAAGTTTTCTAGATGTGTGGACAACAGCGCACCTCTTACTGAACCTTCCAACCTTTGATCTGATGTGGAATACATATCACCTGAGTGACATCTGTTAACATCTGGTGTCAACGAGTTAACATCTGGTATCAACGAGTTAACATCTGTTAACATCTGGTGTCAACGAGTTAACATCTGTTAACATCTGGTGTCAACGAGTTAACATCTGTTAACATCTGGTATCAACGAGTTAACATCTGTTAACATCTGGTGTCAACGAGTTAACATCTGTTAACATCTGGTGTCAACGAGTTAACATCTGTTAACATCTGGTATCAACGAGTTAACATCTGTTAACATCTGGTATCAACGAGTTAACTTCTGGTATCAACGAGTTAACATCTGATATCGAGCTAACATCTGATAACATCTTGTATCGAGTTAACATCTGATAAACGAGTTAACATCTGGTATCAACAAGTTAACATCTGTTAACATCTGATATCGAGCTAACATCTGATAACATCTGGTATCAACAAGTTAACATCTGTTAACATCTGGTATCAACGAGTTAACATCTGATAACATCTGATATCGACCTAACATCTGTTAACGTCTGGTATCAACAAGTTAACATCTGATAAACGAGTTAACATCTGGTATCAACAAGTTAACATCTGTTAACATCTGGTATCAACGAGTTAACATCTGATAACATCTGGTATCGAGTTAACATCTGATAACATCCGATATCGAGTTAACATCTGTTAACATCTGGTATCAACGAGTTAATATCTGTTAACATCTGTTATCAACAAGTTAGCATCTGATAAACGAGTTAACATCTGTTAACACCTGGTATCAACGAGTTAACATCTGTTAAAATCTGGTATCGAGTTAACATCTGTTAAAATCTGGTATCGAGTTAACATCTGTTAACATCTGGTATCAAGTTATCTGATAACATCTGGTATCAACAAGTTAACATCTGATAAACGAGTTAACATCTGGTATCAACGAGTTAACATCTGTTAACATCTGGTATCAACAAGTTATCTGATAACATCTGGTGTCAACAAGTTAACATCTGATAAAAGAGTTAACATCTGGTATCAACGAGTTAACATCTCAGATGCAAATTAACATCTGATATCAACGAGTCAACATCTGATAAACGAGTTAACATCTGGTGTCAACGAGTCACCTGCAAATTACATAAATTTCTGTCCAGTGCTTCACAAGGTATTTTACTAACACATAAACTCAGAGAAAATATAGTCAGATTAGATTATCGTAAGTTTGAGGTTATAATCTAGCCAGATAATTTTATGGTCAGTTTCAGGTTATAATCTAGTCAGATTAGATCATGGTCAGTTTCAGGTTATTATCTAGTCAGATTAGATCATGGTCATTTTCAAGTTATAATCTAGTCAGATTAGTTTATGGTAAATTTCAGGTTATAATCTAGTCAGATTAGATTATGATCAGTTTCAGATTATAATGTAGTCAGATTAGATTATGGACAGTTTCAGGTTATAATCTAGTCAGATTAGATTATGATCAGTTTCAG